TAGTCATGCTCATTTCTAAACAGTAAGAATGCCAAGTCATCTTTCTATCTTGTCCTTTGTTTCCTATCTGTATTTTCTAAAATACTACGGTTCTTTTGTAATAATAAAAAACAAAAAGTTATTCATTTAAAAAGTTAAAAGCTCAAGGATCTATGTTGAGATGGTAAAACATTAAAATGGTAGAATGGAAGAGAAAAATACACTGAAAAATTATTGTAAACACAAATAAATTAGAGAGAACAGAGACTAAATAAGGACAAATTTTAAAGCAGCTAATGCCATCCTTAAAATCAATTACTAGTCTCTGTTATGAATGACTACACCAGAAGAATTAACAGATTTGCAGAGTAGCGGTCCTTCTCATTCTGCACTCCTTAACCCACAATCCATATTTTCAAGGTATTTTCTAGGATCACAGGGGAGATTTGGGACTAGCATTTTGTTTCCCTTATTAACTTTATTCTATCTTGTCTTAAAGTATCTGAAGAAGCTTTACAATTTATCTGCATTCCTTCTCCATCTTGTTCTAAAAGAATTTCAAGTGGCTACAAAATTTTATATATATAAATATATATATATATATACTTTTTTTAAATAAAAATCAGGATTAATGGGGAAATTAAGGTTGAAGAAGAGAATAAAATGAAGATAATGTGCACGGATATCCTAGGACCTTTCACACTTAACAAAGACGGACCACAAATACAACTCTGTCAGTTTCAACAAAACAGAGACAGAAACACTAAGATCAATAAAAGTAACGAACAATAACAACAAAAATAAGCCTAAAACTTGTGACTTTTAGCATCTAAATCACCCTGCTCTACTCGATCAACCACTCCATAACCAGTACTGTACACCAACATGCTCACTGGAACGTGATAGGCTGAGTAAATGGTTTAAATAAAAATTAAAGCCTGGCAAAAGCTTTGCAGGTTTCCATTTGTCCACTTGCACATAAACTTGGTAAACTGAGTGTTATGGTTGATACACTGTGTCAACTTGAGAAATACAGTTCAACTACGTGACTCAGCAGGGGGCCAGGGTCCTTACTTTGTAAACATCCTCATCCTGTTCAAGAGGAGGATAGGGAGATGGTGTGGGTGCTATACCTACCCTAGCAGGCGGTAGCCTGCTTACAATATAAGGGAGGAAAAGAGGCTTGCCCCCCTTGTGTTCTTGCTGCTTTTGCTGTCCTCTGCCACCTTGAATTGTTGCCCTCTGCCCTGTGCCACTCTGCCTTGGAGCCAACTGAGTATGGACTGAAACCTCCCCAAAGTGTGAACTAAATGAACCTTTCTTTCCTTAATTTGGGCTGTTGAGTATTTTGTGTCATCCATGAGAGAAAAATAACCAAGACACTGAGTTCAGGCTAAAAATCTTGAACTCTGTGGAAAAAATTCTGTCACTTATATCACTGTGCTTTTTATTTTACTTACAAGAAGCTTGTTTCTATGCAGAAATACACATTCTCGGATGGCTGTCCTCGTAGAAAACTCTAGTTTGGGAGCAATGCCCTAAAAATAAAACAGCATAACAGAACAAATAAAACTATTGGAAACAGTTTTTTGGCTCATCTCATCCTAACTCAGAATAATGCAAGGACCTAATTGTTCTTCTATGTGGATGACATAATCCACATACATCACCTAATACTGTATATATAAAATAAGAGTAGCTAAACACATGTAATATACATTATGTACTAGACACAGGCCCAAGTACTTTGATGTATTAGCTCATGTAATCCTAACACACCCTTGTGAAGTAGGTCCTAAGAAAATCTCCACTTAGAGATGAGTAAACAAAGACAGTTTCAGCAACTTGTCCATTTACTGATGGCAGGACTGGTAACTAGACCCAGGCATTCTGACTCCAGCGCCTATGCGGCAGCTACTCTCTTCAGATCACAGGACCATGAGATTTAATGAAATCACCTGGAGGGAGGGCTGCACAGAGGGTCTCCTTCCCTGACAGGCTGCTTTGAAAAACCTTCCTTTATATCTTATATAAAATATTTGTGTTCATCAGACCTATTTCCACCCCTTCATTTTGTTTGATTAACTGATACTTCTATTTTTTTTATCAGTACCAAACTGTCTAAAAGATGCTGAGGAACTAAATGAAACAAAAACAATAAAACTTGGAAATATAAAGAAAAAGCTTTATTACAGTGGAGGAAATAAATATAATTATTGAGTTGATAAACTGAGAAAAGAAATGAATGGTTTGCCTGACCTGTACACATAATTCATTCCCACTTCTTATACTATTTTTGAAAATAAATGCAATGGTCAGATGAAACAAATAGAGAATTGGCATTGTGCAGTGACTAAAATGTCAAGTACTGATGTATGACAGGCCCTGCTCCACTCAGCTCTTTGACCCTGGGTACATTTCTGAAACACCTCCACCAGCTTCCCCATCCACACAGAAAAAAAACAGTAGTCCCCTCACAAGGTGAAGGAGGATGGAACTCAGCACAGCGTCTGGTACCCAGCTAGCACACAATGAACATCAGCTATTATAAAGACTGTGGCAGTTGGTCTTCTCTTGCTTTATAGAACATATGCGAGAAAATGATCTCATCCATCTTTTAAGAAACTGTTTAAAATATAGTTTAATTCAATTGTAAGAACTGATACTTTCCATTGCATACGTGAGGATATTTCCATGCCTTTTTAAAGCTCTTTTTGGGGATATTACTTACATTTATAAATAAATATAAATACAGCTTTCTATTGGTTCTTTCTATGTATGCCCACAACATTAAATAGATGCCACTGAAGAAAATACAAGAAAGCACGTTTCTCCTTGTCTTCATACTTAGCTGAAAACTAGACCAGTGTTTGGAAATGGCATTTAACAGAGACTTTGGGCAGACTAAAGTCATTATAACAGAGTTACCTCAGGCTTATTCTCGCCAGTTTTTACTCCCTTTTATCTTCAAAAGAGCAATATGCCAATAACTCAAAACAGTAAACACAAGCATCTCACAGGTACCCTAGAAATAAGTGATAAATGCTGATGACTTCAGAAGGGGAAAATACGTTTCCCACCAAATCCTCAGAGATGATGGAAGGCTTAAAATTCTAAACGTTAGGAATTCTGATTAGGGCAATATTTGATGAATATTTGCTGCTTGAAATATTTAGAATCTGAAGCTCTGTCATCCCAGACATCATATAAACAGAGATCTTTCCATGTTATACATTCTTCACAATACTCTCAGCAAAGTGAAGACAATAAATTTCGTTAAGTAATAATAGTAGCAATTCATGGGGCAGCAACAGAAAAGTCAATTGTTAAATGTGCTCTTTATAATTCACAAAGATATGGCCCTTAAAATGAAGTGCATTTAAGGGACATAAAAGTCAAGAAAATTGTCAGGGCTGCTACAGAGTTAGAAATCATAGGACAATATTAAAATGAATATTTTGAATTTGGCTCAGATAATGCCTCCAAATAGATTATCAGCAGAATAGGTACTGTGTCTTTTAAGATCCTTCAGTAATATCAATTACTGAGCCTCTGTCAGTTTCTGCTCTGTTAAATGGAGACCAAATATCTTCCTTGGCTAACTTGGGAATTGTTGGGGAAAAATAGTATATATAAAAAGTGAAATGCAAAAAATAAATAGAGATATAATTTCTACTATTCTCTATTTAGTCATAGTATTTATCATTAAACAAATCTTTCCCTTAATCTATGAAAGAAAGTTAAAAGGCAACCATTTTATAACTATGTGACAATGTGAACACAGTAATAACTTAGCCTGATTACACAGGAATACTTACACCTCTCAGATCAATAATGGAAATCAGTATTATTTGCTATCTTCAGTAGAGCATCTAAACAGAACTACTAGCAGAACTGAGATACTAAGCAAATGAAGCTATCTGTCCAGGATCAGCCCTGTCAGCAATAAAATATTCATGTCTCAGGAATGCTTCTCCCAGGAAAGATCGCCTCTTTAAGAAGTGGTGCTGGAAAAACTGGATAGCCACATGCAGAAGATTGAGTCTAGACCCACGTATCTCATGATGCACGAAACAGAAACACTAAATCTTCTGGAAGATAAAACAGGTAAAACTCCTGAAGACAGAGGCATAAGCAAGGACTTTCTGAGCAGAACCCCAACAGCACAAGAAGTAATACCAAGAACCAACAAATGAGAACATATCAAATTAAAAGGCTTCTTCACTTCAAAGGAAACAATCAGCAGCGTGATGAGGCAACCTACAGAATGAGAGAGGATTTTTGCCAGGTATTCCTCATATGGAGGACTAACATCTAGAATATATGAAGAACTCACAAAAATTAGACTCACCAATATAATAGACCCAATCAAAAATGGTCAACTGAAATGAACAGATACTTCTCAGGGCCAATAAATACAGGAAAAAGTGTTCAACATCATTGGCCATTACAGAAATGCAAATTAAAACGAAACTGAAAGTCCATCTTACTCCAGCAAGAATGGTCATCATCAAGAAATCAAATAATAACAAACGCTGTCCATATTGCAGGGAAAAAGGAACTTTTCCACATTGTTGGTGGGAATGTAAACTAGCACAACCACTACAGAGATCAATATGGAGATTTCTCAAAAACCAGAAATAGAAATTTCATTGTATCCCCTATTCCCTTTCTAGATATCTTCCCAAAAGAGTTAAAGTCATCATATTACAGTGATACATCAATACCTATGTTTATAACCTATAATTCACAGTAGCTAAGTCTTGAAAATGGTCTATATATCCATCAACAGATTAATGGATAAATAAAATGTGGTATTTATACTCAATGAAGTACTACTCTGCCATAAAGAAGGATAAACTTAAAAGTATTTGCAGGCAAATGGACACAGTTCAAGATCATAATGTTAAGTGAAATAAATCAGACACACAAGCTTAAATATCATATGGTTTCTCTTATATAAGAAGCTCAAATATAAAGAAAAAATAAAAGATAGATTGTAGGAAGTAGGGAGATCTTTCTCAAATGGAAATAGGAACAAGAGATGGAGGGAAGAGAGAGAGAAGGAAGAGAAAAGGAATTTAAAAAGAGAATTGAAGAAAAATAGAAAGAGAGCTTTTGCAAATGGGAAGGGAAACAATGTTGGAGGGAACAGGGATGGATGGTACAGGAAGGGGACAAAAATAAATTAAGGTGTGTTATGTACATGTACAAACTCCCTGCAATAAATGTAGCCATCATGCTCTGCAGACACATGCTAATAAAAAAAGAAAAAGAATTTTAAAAATTCTTTCTACCAACAGAAGCCCAGATGGGTAGAATCACTTACTGGAAAACCTCTAGTTGTCTTCATGAGCACTTCCCTATGTATTCCAGGGTATGAAGGTGTCAGCTTGGGCTCAGGGAAAAGAAAATCTCGTGTGTTGTCTTCATAATAGGCCAGCTCTTCCCATGCTAGAAAGGATGGACAAACAGCATAAGTATGTGTATCTACACTCCCCACGTTCAACAAAATAATTTAGACAGATAGATGACAGCAGAGATCGCACTCAGGTAAAAACAGACACTGTGATCTCAGCACTTGTTAGTCAAGAGAAAAATAACTTCTGCTACTTTTTATCTTGTGAATATTTTTTTGAGACAGGGTCTTCCTATACAATCCAGGCTGGTCTTGAGCTCACTGTGTAGCCCAGCCTAGCCTCAAACTCACAGGAATCCTCCTGCCTCAGCCTCTGGAGTGCTCGGATTTCAGGCATGTGCCACCACACTGCCCAACAATGTTGTGCATAATTTTTAACAGCCTTTTCAAGCCATAAAGAGAAAAAAAATTTTGCTTCACAAAACAAAACAAAGAATAAAATCTATGTTTCCATTTATCAATCTACCCATTCTTTCCTTCAACAAATATTTACCAAGAATAAACCATGCACCAGGAGCTAGGGACAGAATAGAACCCAAGTTGGAAGAAATCTGTTCACATAAAGGCTATGGTTTAAACTGGGGTTCAGTGTGTCTGGTGTGGGATGTCAATGGCCCAGAGAACAGCTGGACCTATGCTTCTCAGCACATTATGGACATTACAGACATCTGTAAGGTCATTTCATGGGCAGAAGCTAGAGCTACTAGAGTGTCCTAAAGAATTTAAGCTGGGAAAACAGAAAGAGAACAAATAAGTAGCCTAATGCTTCATCTCAAACTTTTAGAAAAAGAAGAACAAGTCAGGCCCAAA